TAGTCACCTGATCGTACTCCTTCAGACTTTCGGTTGTTCGGTTGTCTGAAACGCAGCCTTGATACATATTCAGATGCTACAAGTTTAGCTAAAGCAATAACCAACGAGCTTAATTTAATATATATTCAAGAATACCGAAAGACATTCCAGGAGTGGATTAAAAGGATGAAACTTTGTACTGAACATCGTGGGGACTACTTTGAACATTTACTGTAAAAAGATTAGTAAAATGTTTTTCTATGAATAAATATTTGAAAGTCCGAGAACTTATTGACTAACCTATGTAATAAGAATGAATCATACATAAGAAAGGAAAGAACTAGATAATATACAGACACCAATCAGTTACCAATTCGATAGTGTATTACTAGTGAAAGAGAATAAAGAAAAGAGTACGCCGGTGGCTATACCATGCTCTGGCGTCTATGTATTTATCTGCATACATATATGTATAAAAAAAGAAGAAATCAGCTGTTCATTACATCGTCGAAAAATGTATACTGAAATATTATCAAGAATCATTTTGACATGATGCATAGTTGTTTAGGATTTCGAGTACTAAACCCTCGAGTACGAGTACGAGTACCACAAAAAACGTACTCAAGTACGAGTACGTACTCGTACTTGCCCAGCTCTGGGGTGAGTGGGTGTGTCAACATCTTGTTTTAAGGCGCACCCACACCCTCACCCACACACCCACATCCACATTATAATTGGATATAGATCGATTATGTACTATTGCTCCTCGACTTGTAGCCATTGTCATCATTAGTTTGTTATTGACTCTGAAGAAGTCATGGATGTATTTTTTTTTGTTCGTATCGAAAGGCAAATGAAAAGAAAAGCAAGAATCCGAAGAAAATGATGTAATTCAAGGTGAAGATTATCGTGTTCATTTTATAAGCCGGTCAGTAACGATCAAAATAGCTTCATATTGAATCATGTTAACATTGAAAGAACAGTTGCAATCAAATATTGGGTATAGTAGAACGAAAGTGTGAAAATAATTGGCATTTCTCTCATAGCTGCTAAGAAAGAAAGAAAAAAAATGAACAAAACCTGTCGATTAAACAAAGAAGAATTTAAGCTACCTTTTGATGTACATGCTTCATTGTCTATTAAAGCAAAAAACTGTACACGATGGCTACCGCTTTCGCAAACATACATATTGCCGGCATTGTCAAAGTCCAAATCGATTGGAAGATTCAATGGATCAGTCACATTGTTTACACCTGTTGCAAAGATCATAGTCGAATATATGAATTGGAATTACTTTTTTAAGAGTATCTTCCTTCTCTTTTTTGATCATCTCTGGTTCTCAGTGAGGGTATCATCGACCGAGGTGAAATTTTTAACGCAGCTAAAGCATCATAAATGACGAGACCCATGTTTGAGGAAAAATACTTAAATGAAAATCTTCATAGATTTCTCAGAGGTATTTCAGGAAATCTTTGGTTTTTCATTGGGTCTGTTTACATCCGTTCCCTCTTAATTAGACTTCTGCAAAATGGTCACGGTCACGGCCTCTCGTGACCGTGACCAAATAGCTCATGATCGTGACCGGATAGCTCGTGATCGTGACTTATTGGTGATAAATTTTAATATTAAAAATCTGATTTTTCTGAAAAAAAAAACAAGATTTTAGTTGATTTACGAGTTTTCTTTGTTTTATTACAGAAGAAATCTACGAAATCAATTTAAATCTTTATTTTGTAGCACAAAAATCAAGGTAGTAATCCAAAATCCCCGTGACCGTGACGTGACTGTGACTAGTTTCGAAAAATTTTCGTGACTATGAACGTGACCGTGACCAGGCAGCTCGTGACCGTGACGTGACCGTGACTGATTTTGAAAAATTTCCGTGACTACGAACGTGACCGTGACCAGGCAGCTCGTGACCGTGACGTGACGTGACTGAAAAATCGTGGTCACGCAGAAGTCTACTCTTAATGTGTCAGTCTGACCTGAAGATTTCATCACAGATACCTGACATCGATATCTCACAACCCTCTTTGGCCGTCTTTGTTTTTATGCTGTAGTGCAGAGTTCGAGGGTTCGAAAAAACCAGTTTCTCAGAAAAAAAACAGTTTTTCCCTTTTATAATTTCATAACTCTGGCCAAGAGCATGGAAACAAAAACTGCCAAAAAAGGTTGTGAGATATCGATGCCAGGTATCTGTGATGAAATCTTCAGTTTAACTGACACATTTAGAGCGAACGAATGTAAGCAAACCCATTGAAAAACCAGATTTCCTGAAGTACCTCTGAAAAATCCATGAAGGTCTTCGTTTAAAATTTTTTTTCAAACATGGATCTCCTCATTTGTGATGCTTAAGATGTGGTAAAAGTTTTATCCCGATCGATGGTATCATCACTGACAACGGAAAGTCACCAATTGTTAAATCGCTTTTGCGTTGAGACTATGTACATTATGTAGTTACAAATGATGTATGAATACCCTGAAAAAAGTTCGGACCGCTAGCTTCTTATTGCAGAGATACTGCACTTCTACGGTCTCGTTTTAAATGAATACCGTGGCAACCCTCAGGAAAACCAGAAAAAGTTATTTTCGAATTTCGACTTGAAATTTTACAAGAAACAGGCCTCACCTAGAATAGTTTTTTCTGAAAGTTTCAAATCTTTTGATTTTTCTATTCTAAAATAAGAATATCGAATCTTCTGGTTTATCCGAATGAGGTTATCATAGTTGTAGCTACCGGTAGTAGCAGTAACAAGACCTGGGACTTGCACAAAAACTTCTTGGTAAGACCTGTTCCTATGTAAAGTTTCAAGTCGCATTTCGAAAATAATTTTTTCTAGTGCTTCTGAGGAATGCCACGGTATTCATTTAAAACGAGACCGTAGAAGTACAGTATCTCTGCAGTAAGAAGCTAGCGGCCGAACTTTTTTCAGGGTATTCATACATCATTGGTAACTACATAATGTACATTGTCTCAACACAAAATCGATTTAGCAGTTGATGGTCTTCCCTTGAGAGAACCAAAGATGGTCAGAAAAGAACGGGAATACTCAAAAAAATCGAAAGTTATTCAAAGCTCATTTTTATGAAAAATATTATTGCACAATTTCCCATATTAAATACGAGTCCCAAGCGTTCACAAAAAGATGTACTACGAAAATAATACGATTCTTGCAGCGAATACACATTCGAAGCCTTTTTAGATTCGGAAAATTATTTTGATAGAGTGTATTTTTTTACCAGATTTTCGTCTATTGAGTAATACGTAATTGAAGAAAAAAATCTGTTTCTAAAATTCGAACTTCATCTCTTCTTTTCATAAGACAGAATTCAATGCTATTAATATGCATACCTGAGCCAGCAATAGTATCGCCCATGTATGCGTTGGCTTTCCAACGTTGAATGCGTCCGTTATATGTGTCGGCAACATACACAGTCTTTGTCTTGTCATCGACCCATATACCTTGCGGAGCACGTAACTGTGAAGCATAATCGCCCTGGCTGCCGTCGGTCGCTCCAGCTACGTAGACGCCATGTGGTGCTTTTGGCGAAACCATTCGAATGCGATTCTGCGTCACCTCAGCTACATACACTGAATCAGTGGTTTCATCGACATGGATATCTCTAGGATCAATGAAAAAGCTGACAACGACACTACTAGTATTTGTTTGGGGTGACCATTTAGTTATACTGTCACCACGATAAGCAGTCATATATACATTTTTTGTTTTATCAACCCATACACCACAACAAAAAATACAAGTACCGCCCACTTGCACGCCGGATGTCGCTCCTTTAACCCATTTTTCAACGCGATAGGCGAAGAAAAGTGCAATATAGAGCATAATCTGATTGCCATCATCATCAACGTAAAGGTTGCTAGGAAATGGCACAGGGTATGCAACTGTGGTACCCGTGTTCGATGAGTGATTGAGTGAAAACATTTGAATACGGTGATTGAGATAGTCTGCCACATACAATATGTTTGTTTCTTTATGAATAAATACTCCAGTGGGCGTGTTGAGTTGATCAGAAGAGTTACCGGCTATGCCATTGCCAGCCACTATGACTCCTGTTGTGTTCCATTTTGCACAAGGACTAATCATGACTGATGTCAGATGTGGCAAAGAACAGCAAAGAAAAACTAGAGTAGAAACAAATCTTATTTATTCTTTTGTATGTTTATTGATAAACTTACGAGTGTGGATAACCGAATTTCCAATCATCGATGACGATCAATATTATTCAAGTGAAAGTAAGTTTACAATACATGCAGCTAACTAAAACACTTACGTAGGAAAGTATATGTAAGTATATTACAATGTGTACCTTAAGACCAGCGGTACGTCAATAGCCTCGTTTGAAAAAGTTTTCACTATAAGAAAACGGTGGATGGAGGAAATGAAATAGTGAGGAAAGTTTTCACGAGGACATAAAGAATCTTTTCTGTTTTGCTTTCCTACTCGTTCTCTTTCGTCTCAATTGTTACAGTGGATTAATTTTAGACGAAGTTATTCACTCTGACCACTGTAGAAATACAAAAAAATGAATGGTAGCAGAGTGGTCGGAACAATAGGTAATCTTGATGATTAAAATTGCTTTTGACTTGAATCCCCTGGAAGACTCTTGGATCTGATCTGGAGACTCTCGCGGAGGTAACTGGCTAATAAGAAATAAGTATAGAGAAGAAACATCTCTACGCCATACATTATGAAAGAATGTGAAAGAGCAAAAGGCGAGCAATCGTAGCTGTGAGAGAAACTGACGAATGATTATCCGATTCAATTTAATGCGAATTGTTTTCCTTTGAAAACAGTTGAGAGATGAAACAGTTTTTCGAACGAAAAAGAGTGTGAACGGCGAATGAAAGTAAATGAAAAAGAGAGGAAAAACTTAATAAGGAGAGACCCCACATACGAAATGAAATAAAATAAAAGAAACGAATAGTTGAGGATTATAGTGTGACCGAAGACGCGATTCATACTTCCACTCTCACTCCTCATTCTCAATAACACTTGAAAAAATGTGTATCGCATGCGTTGTTCATTGAATGACTGAAAATAGAACACATCATATCGATATAGCTTCAAGTGTCCTTCGCGAGTCTTAATCATTTTTACGATACGTCGCTTAAACGTGTCTATTGGTGTCTGCGTTGGAAAGACATGTTTTTCTCGTCTATATATAGTGAATGATTACTAGACAATACACTATGTAAAATAATTATTCAGACACCTTGTGACATCTATTGTGTAAAGTAAATTTTACAATGAAGAAAGAACATATTCTAGTTTCTTTTTGTACTATTCAATAGGCGAAAGTCTCTATTTTCATCGAGGAACGAAGAGCTCTTTTCAAAAACCTTTTCGTCGATATTTCAAGGTTTTTCAAGAAACCACTTGATTTTCTGCGCAAAAAATTATCCCGATACTTTTAGTTTTCTTTTCATTGTACCTTTATCCTACATGAAAATGTTTCGAATCATATTTCATTCGACAGAGAAGAAAGTATTGAATCAAATGATGCCCTTTCTTTTCAAAAATAACTATATAAACGAGGAATTAATTGCTAATCATGATTAGTCTTCTTCATTGTTGTATCATTATTCTCGACTTTTAGAAAGCAAAATCAGACTAAAACTATATTTGAAGGGCGAAAGCTTAGAGAGAATTAAATTCTCTACAAAATGATGTGCTTAACTACACAATAATTATTTTCTCTCGATAAGATAAG